TGTTGCTCACATGTTGCTTTATTTAAACGATGTTCCATAAATATTGAGGCATATTTCAGTTTGCACTACATTTTTAATACATGATTTCATTTGATACATCACTCTAATAGAGATTACCTGCAATGATCAGACAAGATAGAGACATAGAGCCTTTCCAAAGTCACACTAAGAGTAGATACTGACTTGAATGGGTATTGATTCCACAATGACTTCCTTGCCTCAGTGGCCTGAGGATGTCTAAGTTCTTGAACAAAGAGAGACCCGAAGTGCCCTTCTGCAAACTCCCAAAGGGCAGTCAAACCGGAGATGCTTACGTAGCTTAAGTATTCCCCAGGTCAAATGAGGACTGTTCCCAGCTACTGGATCCCAGTGGGAAAGTCACTCCTGATTCTTGAAGATGTATTGGCACTCAACAATGTTTACACCTCACTCACTTTGTACAATTAGCTCTCCAAGATACAAAAGACAGAACCGCTGTCACAGGACAGCCACTGTTCTGTCCTGCAGGAACTGAAAATAATCTAGTGTCAAGGGCATGTGTCAGACAGTCCTGCACAAAGCAGTACGTGCAAAGGTGAGAGACAGGAGAGAGGTCATGAACTGAGCAGGGGCTGAGGAAGTGACCTCTGAGAAGACACCGGAGAAACCAGAAGGCATTTATCAATAGCCATAAAGGGAGAGAGAAAACAGGACATGGCATATGCAAATACCAACAGGCTACTCTCTCTGTCTCTGTCTGTCTCTGTCTCTGTCTCTGTCTCTCTCTCTCTCAGTGTGTGTGTGTGTGTGTGTGTGTGTGTGTGTGTGTGTTGATTCCAAGGAACCAGGAAAAATCCAGTTTTGGTGAACTATAAAATCTAAGTTCCTTACAGCAACTCAGAGCCTGTTTGTCTGACAGTCACATGTAGCCCAGGCTGGCCTTGAGTTTATTATGTAGCTGAAGCTGATCACAAACTTCTGATTCTCCTGCTTCCCCTGCCCAAGTGCTCAGATCATGGGCATGTATTACCCAGTATTATGTAGTGCTGGGGATGGAACCCTGGCTTTGTGCAAACAAGGCAAGCACTCTACAAACCGAGCTACACCCCCAGCAAAGAG